ACCGGTTCAGGTCTTACAGAACCGCTCAGAACCAGTGTTGTTGTCTCACCCGTCCTCCCCCCTGTGGACCAGCAGCTCGTCCACATAGATCGACTGCAGCACCTCGATCTCAGACAGCACACTGCGGAGGAAACACACAGCAGCCGTTAGTAGCCGTTAGTGGCCGTTAGCGGCCGTTAGTAGCCGTTAGCGGCCGTTAACAGCCGTCAGCCGGTAACAAGCTCCCGTTGGTGATATTTGAGTCGCAGCACGGCGGCGGAGAGCGGGAACATTAGCTGAGGACTGAACACAGCGACTGTCGTTAAATGTGTTTGAGGTTTTACGGTTGAAACGGTCGAGAAAGACTCACTCGCACTCGGCGGCCATGATGGTGTTTCTGGGAGAGCTTCCACCGGAGCTTTTCAAAACAAAAGCGTCGCGGTGAGAAGTGTCGTTAGCTCGGTTCGGCACGCTGGGAGAAAAAAAAATCACGTGAACGTCTCAGACAGTGAACGTAGTTACGTCTGCTGTCGGCGTAACGTCGCTGTTCCTGGAGTCAAAGGGCGTAACCGCGCTGATGCGTTTTATTTTGAAAGTCTTCAGCGGAAGTCGCGTGCTATGGTAGTGTGCAGTGACGATGGATGACAGCGACTCGTCATCGCCCCCAGCGGCCACAGCGAGTAACTGCACCTTTAAAAAATAACTTATTTATAAAAGTACAAAACAATAATAATAAATCAATAACACAATACAATAATATATATAATATATAATGTATAAATATAACAATATATATTATATTCACAGTCACTTTTCTTTAACTATTTAATACATTACTTGCACTATTATACTACACTGGATCTATCAAAAAAAGTAGCTACTGTTAATTTTATATATTATATATAAATATATATATATTATATATAATATATATATTATATTTTATTTTGGATCTTTTATTTTATTTTTAATTCTTCTCTTATGGTTAGGGTATTTAATTTTAATTTTAGTTTAATGTATCTTTAATCTATCTATTATCACTGTACAGTTCACACACACACACATATATATATATATATATATTATATTTATAAGTTACTGCTGCATATGTATATATATCTTTAGCTTTAGGTGGTACAGGGGGAACTGATACATCCACATCTTATTCTCTTACAGACCACAGTGTGAAGCTTATAATACTGTTTTATTTAAATAAATGAGTTCTGTATGTTGACATTAACAATGATTATACTGATATTAACACACACTCATGCTTCTAGACACATTCAGGTAAACTGTTGATAAAGTGTATATTATTATTACTATTAATACAATTATTATTATTATTATTTTATAAAGTATATATAGTATTTTTAAACTCTGACAGTGTTTTATTATTGCCTTTATATTTAAATGTGGTGCAGTTCCTCTCGGCGGCCGCTGGGGGGCAGTAGACACTGAGAGCAGCTGTTGCTCCTTCAGTGTAAAAGCAGACACAATATCGTATTTAACACTTCCTGTGACCTTTCAAAATAAAACAGCAGTGAGCCGTTATTAACGGTAGAGGGCAGCGTTGTGCGCGTGCGCGTGTAGTTCGACCGGAAGCTCATTGTAATCAGAAAACCAGAAGAAGAAGAAGAAGCGAACCCGCGAGACGAGACTCAGGAACAAACATGTGCAATTAATAACAAAAAGCGTTATTAATATGATCAGTTATTGTTTTTACACTCTAAATGAAACGCATCTAAAACGTAATGCGTGATTTCGCGAAGACGCGCGCGACGTCATAACACGAGAAACCAACCCGAAGTTTAAATGTGTGAATTGTTTTAGCTGCTTCGTCGTTCGGGAGGAAAAAGTGGAATAAAATGGACGAAATCGTGATGGAATCGGACCCGGCCGATGTTTGCGCCTCTGCCCCGCAGCTGCAGGTCGGTGAGGCGTGGGAGACCGTCACTGCAGCCCTGGTGAGTGCCGTTATTACCGGACACACCGGGACTCATTACACCGGAGAGAACATGGAGCGAAGCGGAGGCGCCGAGTTCCGTTCAAATATTTCACGATTTAATGTTTTCGTGGTTGTTGCAGCGGTTCAGAGCCGCGGGGACAAAACTGAACACTGGTCACTGATTAGTTGTGTTGTTCGGGGTGATTCGGCTCACATGTAACACTGTGTTCACCTGTTTATTGTCTGTGCTGCACTCACAAATATTAAAGTTCACTGTCAGTATTTTAATGTAATACATGTAATGAATGTGTTGACACTCTGTAATGCTGATCACTTAGAATTAAGGTCATTATACTTGCAGTTTTTAAGTTGTAGTAACTTCAGAAACTAAAGTAAACAAGAAGATAAAGTAACTTAAGACTAACAGGTATATTTAGATCATAAGTACCAACAGTCAGTGTGAAGATAACATGTAGTTTGAGATGTCCTGAATGTTGCAGATGTCTCCCGGCTGCTCGGTGCCGGAGCAGAGCCTCTCGGACTCCTTGGTGCTGCTGTGTGCTCGCGGTCTGGGCCGGCTGCTGGGCGGCTGGCTGCTGGAGACGCTGCAGATGCGTCTGTCCTCCTCTGTGGTCCCCGAGTTCTGGTCCGGACTGAAGCAGCCGGAGAACGAGCTGGAGGAGCGAGGCCGGGCCTGGGTTCTCCTCAGCGCCTTTCGGACTCTGTTGAGCCGCCTGGAACCGTTCCTGGGTGGGTAGAAGGACTACAGCGGGTCCGGCTCTGCGGCTCTTCATCGGTACTCAACCTTTCTTCCTCCTAGGTGGTCTGGAGACGTTGGGGACGTGGCAGCAGGAGGGTCGCAGCAGTCTCTGTGGCCCCGGGCCCAGGGGCCTCCAGGAGCTGGCCTTCACCATCATCCGGGCCCTGCTCCTCTTCTCGCCCGCCCCCGTCCTCCAGGAGCGAGTGCTGGAGTTCTACAGCAGGACCTTCTCCGTCTACATGAACCAGCAGGGGGAGGCGGAGGACGGGGCCGAGGCTCCGGACGAGGGAGGATCCTGCCGGGGCTGCGGGGTCCCGACGCAGCGGTGCTGGTGTCAGGAGGCGCTGGAGCAGCTGCAGGAGCTCAGCCACATTCTGTGAGTGGAGCGTAAACACGAGCCGACCGCCGGCCGGCGCCGAGCGGCCGCTCCCGCTGTCACATTCTGTGTCTGTGTGCTCGCAGGTCCAAACTGCAGCTGCTGGAGTGGGTCAGCTCCGAGGCCGTCACCTCCATCCTCCACCGGCTCATCGAGCAGCGGATGGAGCAGCACTGCCGCGGAGAGTACGAGCGCTCCTTCCTGCTGGAGTTCCAGGAGGTAAAACACCTGTCTCTCTGTCTGTCTGT